TCTTAGAAAACATGTGGTATTACCTCTGCCACCATTGCAGGCCTGTCTAGATTCAAGGAAAGGGAACATAAACCTCTCAGTTCTTAATGGAGGAGTGTCAACATGATATAAGAGGAGCAGATGGAATAGGGTGTATTGGTGGAGGCATCTCTGGAGAATACAGTTTACCATGTGTGTCCTGTGAAGGTGTTTCAGCTTTAAGAACAGTGAGTCCACCGCATATCCTGCATGCCGAACACAGTCTTAGGCTCTATACTATATGTGCCTGAATATAGGAAGCATATATTTTCCCTAAAATTATCCCTCAGAAAAGGGGGAGTGAATGTCCTTATATTTGTTTCGTATAGTGGGCTACTTTATTTTGAACAACTAAGTACTGTTTGTGTAACCTGTATTAACCTGAAACAAAGTCAGCACTTGCTTGTTTGGAGGTGCTTAAGAGGTTAGCTGATAAGATCAGTGAAAAAGAAGTAAAAATTTTACAAAGTTTTAGTCATTATCCTGGGGATGTGGCTTCACAGAGAAGTGTTCTAGGTCACTGAAAATAAGTATTTTAGAGATCACAGAATAGAACATGATATCTTCCAGAAACTATATAAAATCATCTACACAGCTTAAATAATGATGAAATTAGTAATGTTAAAAGTGAATATAGGGACTTCCCTGGTGGTCCCGTGGTTAAGAATCTGCCTTCCAATACAGGGGACATGGGTTCGATCCCTAGTCGGGGAACTAAGATCCCACATGCCATGGAGCAGCTAAGCCCATGCGCCACAACTACTGAACCTGTGCTCTCTGGAGCCCGCACGCCACAAATAGAGGGAAGCCCACTCGCCACAACGAAAGATCCTGCATACTGCAACAAAGACCTGATGCGGCCAAATAAATTAATTAATTAAAAAAAAGAAGAGGTTCAAAGAAACTTTAAAAAAAAAAACTTTCATGGCAATTGAATGCCACACAAGGATAGCTATAATGAAAAATATGCAAGCATTAAAATTTTTAAAAAGTGAATATAAAATTTGAATAAAATTATTTCATGAACTATGAGTAAGGAAAAAGCAAGGTTTCTAAATTAATAACTTATTTTACATAATAGTTGAAATAGAGATGGTACAAAATTAATATTAATAAACATCTGACTATCTCCATCTCTATATAAATATTTGCCTCATGTTTCAATATATGGTTTATATTTTCAAATGTATTTTTTTAAAACAATATTCAAAGAATTTCTGAAATACTCTTATATTTAGTTAATTGGGTTACTTTTCTCTTCTTGACAATGTTTATTTGTTGAATGATTTCAAGTATTCCAAATAGCTTAAGAGCCATGAAATCTGTATTTCAACTAACATCATCATCTTTGTGTCTCAGTGCCTGAGACATACACAGCCCCCAATAAACATTTGTTGAAGTTAGATTTGTTATCTCCTGGATACTCTCTGCCATTTTGTAATTAGTCTGTAGGGCCAAGGGAAGAAGGTCAGTAAGTACCAGCACCCACTTTCGAGTGCATCAGAGTGTTCCCCTCTCCCCAGCCGTCCTTCCCACACATACCCCTGTACAAATATTTAAAATGCAGGAAGAGGAAGAAAACAAAAGAAAGTCTAACATTTTGAATGATGCTTGCCATAGGAAAATAAAAGGACATAAAGCAAAAATATTATGACAACCTTTTGGGTCTTGGCCAAAGTCTCTACCAGGTCATCCATTGCCTGGAGGGAATACTCTCAGGGACTCGGTCACACAGACCAGTCCAAGGAACACATGTATGCTTCTTCCTGAATTGGACTCTTAGAGTGACAGACTCTCAAGGCAGCAGGTGATGGCTCACTTCACAGGGGCGCTGTGCTGTAGGAATAAACTTGTGTTTGAATTACCCAAGTTAGAAGGGTCTCATTCCATGGACTTTCGGGGCTGCACAGGGGTACTGTAGGGCCTGAGTTGCCTGTTGCATGCCGCTAATACAGGACAATAGACCTTGTACCAGACTGAAGGTGCCATGTAACGAATAATACTGATCAAAGCAGAACGTGGAAGAGACCCTAAAGTCTGAAACCTTCTGGAGTTTTCTTTTAATCCATGCGCGGAACCTCTTGCTTTCTATTTGGTATGCAGTCCATGATGGCTCCCTCCCCCATATTTTTTTCCCTGCAAACTCAAGCTCTTAAAACACTCACTATTACCTGGGTATTGGATGGGTTTGGGGAAGTGTGAGCTTGGGAAAATGAAAACTGCTTCTCTGAATGGCAGGATAGATATTGGTTCTATTACAGATTGGTAGGCTCTACGGGCAGAGTAACTTTGTGTGTGTGTTTAGGAGTATTGTTACATAGAGCATATTTTGAGATGCTCCCTCTGATAAGAAAAAAGTACCTGGTAAAAGGAAGGTGAGTCCTATGTAGGGTTATGGTGGGGAAAGAGTCTTTGATGTGGTTGCCTATGCTTTGGCAATGGTATGACCCCTGGGGAACCTCCTAAGGATTTGATTAGCAACTCTATCTATCTATCTATCTATCTATCTATATTTCTCTCTATCCATCCATGAATTTTTAAAAAAATTACAAAGCAATACAGAACAAAACATGTACAAGGAGAAAATTAACAATAGTATCTGTAATACCTCAGTACTGTTTCGCAGAGTAACCAACTTCAACAGTTTCATGTAAATAATATCGTATTTATATGTTGGTTGGTTTTCTTAACAAAAGTTTACCCAAAAAGCACTGCTCACCCGGTTGTTCTCATTTAGTAATATGCCACGATCATGGTCGATATTCTATGGTCAATTCATGTAGCTTTAACTACTTCTTTTTAATACCCACATAATATCCACAGTGTGCCTGTACCTGCGGTGGAGAGTGTTTTGACTGTTTTCGTGTTTTTTACCCTTTGATCAGTGCTCCAAGAAATATTTTTCTAGTCACGTTCTTAGGCATGATGTAGCATGCTCAAAAGGTAAAAAACCTACCCTGTACCCCAGATGGATGTTGTAGATCCCTGTCCTGCATTAGACACACGTGGCTGTTGAGTACCTGAAATGTGGCTCACCTGAATGAAAATGTGCTAAGACTAAAATACACACCCAATTTCAAGGACTTAATATGAGAAAAATATTTTAATATCTCTAATAATTTTATATTAATATGTGGAAATGATATGTATCAGATATAATAGCCTAAACAAAATTTATTACTAAAATTAATTACACCTGTTTCTTTTGTTTTTAAATGTGGTTACCAGAAAATTTAAAACTACACACGTGGGTCACGTTTGTGGCTGCATTGTATTTCTACTGAAGAGGAGTGTTACAGATACTTAAAAAATTTTCCGAAATGACATCAAATTATTGCCCTGAATAGGCGTTTTGCTTCGTTTTGATTTAAGTTTTGAGTAGGTAATGTGCACAGCACAAAATCTGAAAGGAAAAAGGGTATAAGAAGTACTTATAATAGTCTTCTATTGCTGCTGTAACAAATTACCACAAAATTAGTGGCTTAAACAACGCTAATTTATTCTTTTAGAGTTCTGGAAGTCAGAAGTCTGAAATGGGTCTCACTGGGCTAAGATTAAGGTGTCTCAGGGCTGCGTCCCTTTTGGAGGCTTGCTTGCCTTTTCCAGCTTCTAGACGTTGCCTGCATTCCTTGGTTCGTGGGCCCCTGCCATCTTCAAGGCCATCAATGATAGGTCACTTCTCCTACTCTGACTCCTTTCCGTCTCCCTTTTCTACATTTTTTTTTCAGCCAGTTTACTGAGACATAATATGCATACTATACAATTGACTCACTTGAATGGCTTTGAGTATATTCACAGAGCTGTAAATTCATAACCACCATCAATTTTAGAATGTATTCAGCACCCCCAAAAGAAACACTGTGCCCATCACCTCCCCTGTAATCTCTTCTTCCTTCCCAGCCCTTGGCAACCACTAATCTATTTTCTGACTCTATAGATTTGCCTATTCTGGACTTTTCATATGAATGGAACCATAATATGTGATCCTTAGTGACTGGATTCTTTCACTTAGCGTGATGCTTTTGTAATTCGTCCGTGTTGTAGTATCTATCAGCACTTCATTTCGTTTTATTGCCAAATAATATTCCATTGTATCCCTTTTCCACTTTTAAAGACTCTTGTGATTCCTAGGCCCACTTGGACAGTCCAGGATAACCTTCCTATTTTAAGGTCAACGTTTAGCATCCTTAGTTCCGTCTGCAATCTTAATTGCGGTGTGGATGTCTTAATGGGGGGGCCATTATTATGCCAGTCAGAGTGCCCAGCTCCAGGGAATGCTTTTTTTTTTTTTCAACTTGTGGAATCTTAGTTCCCTGACCAGGGATTGAACCCAGGCCCTTGGCAGTGAAAGCACGGAGTCCTAACCACTGGACTGCCAGGGAATTCCGCAGGGGATGCTACTTAGAGCAGAACAAAAGTGCCTCTCTCCCCAGAGGCAGCACTGTTACCAGTGTCTTTTATATCCTTAAGTCATATTCTATGCATACGCAAACGTGTTTCTAAAAACATATTTCTTAAAAATACCAATAGTAGAAAATACAATACACTGCCTACTGTATATACTGTCTTTCACCTTGTTTCCTGTTTTTGGTTTTCTAGTCTTAAATCTATCTTGGAGATTATATTAGTTTCCTAGGGCTGCTGTAACAAGTTACCACAAACTGGCTGACTTAAAACAGCAGCAGTGTATTCTCTACAGTTCTGAAGGGCAGATGTCGAAAATCAAGGTGGCAAAAAAAAAAAAAGGAAATTAAAAAAAAAAAAAAAATCAAGGTGGCGACAGGGCTATGCCCCTTCCAGAGGCTCTAGGGGAGAATCTGTTCCTTGGGTCTCCCAGCTTTTGGTAACTTCAGACATTCCTTGGCTGTGGCTGTTTCACTCCAATCTGTGCCTTCATCTTTACATGTCCTTCTGTCCTTCTCCTCTTCTGTGTCGGTGTCTTTGCCTTTTCTGTCTCTTATTAAGGATACTTGTCATTGCAGGCTTCCCTGGTGGTGCAGTGGTTGAGAGTCCGCCTGCCGATGCAGGGGACACGGGTTCGTGCCCCGGTCCGGGAAGATCCCACATGCCGCGGAGC